CTTACGTACCATAACCACCAGGTGCAAGCATGCTTACTGGAGGTCGCCAGGCATTCTCATCACCCTAAAAGCAGGTTTCCTGGGCACAGAACAAGACTTTCGCAAATGCATTGCTTGATAACCCAGCTGGCATTGCAACTTCCGGTCACATATAGTTGTCCATTTCAATTATTACACTACGAAAACTCATAACTAGACAGATGTCCCTCGCTAACCGTTTCCTGTCGATCTTCGGTTATCAAGATGGAAATCGTTGACCATGCTCACTAGTCACCAACTAAATGGCCTGCGTGTTGATCTACACAAGGGTGTTGATATTACTTTGGTCTGGCTAGTGAACAGCACATTTTGATGTGAATTATCTTCAGCCACTCATACTAACCAGCAGCATCTACCATCATGCTATTTAGCTTGCTTTCTTGATTACCAGTTTTGGAGATAAGGAGATCACATCCTGCTCTCGGGAAATGAGGTTCTTTTTTACGAACTTTGGAAACTCCGAGAGGCCTTTCGACCTCTAACACTGTCTGTTTGATGAATTTCACATAAGTTGCACATACACCCTCTAAGGGCAAGTAAAATTGTAGTCTCAGCCCAGACCGATAGAATACTCTGCTGTAACTTCTCAAACGATTTCACCCACTTTACTGACGTCTGTTTCACCTTTTAGACTAAAGCTAGCTCGTGTGAATCTGTAGTTTTAAGGCACTGTAATACTTATATAGTTACTTCTAAAAATCACGTCTTATTAGGTAAAACAGTGAAACGTTTTCAAGAGTAAGGCGTTTAAACTCAGGATCAACTGCCAGTCAATGTTTAGTTTATTCATATATCATCTTCTCTACAAATAGTCTGATTAACATTGTGATTCTTGTCACTCGTTTGAATGATTTGGAACAGTTGTCAACATTTGCTGAATACAACTGTTACTTCCGTCTATCTCACACAATGTGATTGCCACGTCTCTCGGTCCCCTAAACTATTGGTATACTCCAAAATCAGAGTAATAATGTTTGAGTTTTCGTCCTGTCACTTTTAGTGCTTATACATATACTTAATGTGGTAAGGATATTTAGGAAGCTTCTTTGGCTTCAATTTTTGCTTAATGTGCTGACGACAGTAATAGACATCACACCTCCAATTAGTTGTTTGACTAAAGTGAAGTGATCACGTGTTTAGTTTCTGACCACAGCGTGAATAATTTGCCAGCAACAGCACTGATGTTGTTTCAGGTTGCATTAGTTCCAAAGAGAACAAAATGTAATTTACTGTAGAATTTCTCCAGTGATCTATCTTCAATGATTGGAGCGGTTTCACTCCACTTATTTCATCTAATCTGTTTCAGATTTTACTTGCCTTGAGCAATACTATATGAACATTTTTCCAAAAGTATCATTCATTGAATAAAACTACCATTCTCTACTATCAAAAAATCTAATATAGAGCTACACATCGTCATGTCACGTAGATTTGGGGGGGGGCGGAATGGCCTTGAACTAATCATATTCTCTGAGGTGGGATCTATCACTTTAGCATAGAAAGCCTATTTACGGGGTGCATATTAATTAAACAGTGTATATGCCTCTAATATGCTGCAAAATAGGTCCCAATTTTCAATATTAGTGGTTTTAGACATATACTATTCAGAATCCAATAAGATTTATATGAATACATACCAGTTTAAAGATCTGCTAATCCTGATGAATGATCGACTGTGTGATGAATATATCCTGATGGTGATAGCCAAAACGCCCAACATTTCAAATGGATATATTTATGAAGACATTTAGGAGACAAAAAAAACTTGAGCAAAGAATATTCTTTGCAAATGGATGCTGTCCGTAGTCTTCTTTGCAAGTTTCACCCTAACCTTACCCCGACCCTAACTTAGCCATACCCTACTCTAATCGTAAACCTACACTAACCTCAACTGTAACTGTATCTCTGAATCAAGGTGAAACTTACGACGCAGGTTATGAAAAGCATTCTTTTGTAATGCTGAGCTATCTAATTGGTTGGTTCAGAGTCATTTGGCTGTTTGCATTCCTCTTTATTACTGTTAGGCATTTACATGAATAGTGTTGGGTGTGTTACACATATATGAGGTAGTGTTCGTAATCTGATCTGTATAGACTCAGATTATCGGATGCAGTTCGAATGTTCGATTACGAAGTACTGAGTCAAACTCTCAAATGTAATCAACCAGTTAGAGTGTTATAAGTTTTAACATATAGTGTGACTCATAACCTAGTGCATTATTATTATTATTATTATTACTATTCTCATGGGTTCTGAGCGGATTATAGAGCCTAAACAACAGCACATCTCCATTTCTTCCTGTCCTCTGCAGTTTTCTGTAACTGACTCCACGACTGCTCATAAAGACTCATTGCCTCTTCACACGATCTCCTCCGTGTCACCCCTGATGAAAAGCCACTCGACTCTGCTTACCACTCTAGGGCCTGGTGCACGATGTCACTGAACTGTCTCCTCTCTTTGTAAGAGTTCCATATGGCTAATTCTTTGTAGTCATCTGACATATAGTATGGAGGGAAGTGTACAACTTGTCTGAAATGCTCATCTTGATCTGTGCATCCAAATCTCTGAATTATATATTAGGAAGCACTAACTGACTAACTGGATATTAGTGTGGAAAATCCGAATCTCGTTATTTTATACTTATTACAGTAGATTTTCACTCTGATTTCAGTTTAATGAAGGTCGGTCTTGCTTTTTTTCTTCAATTGTGACTGACTTTAACAACCTCATCCATGTTTTTGCCTATAGGTGAAACGATGCCTGATTGGATTTTCAAGTATTGGTTTGTAGGGGTTTGATTGATTGGTTACAGGATTTCATCATGAGCTGACATTGGTTAGAGAACCATTGGAAAACCTACCAGGGAGTACTGGACAGCTGTTTCGTCCCACTAGTTTGGGACTCTTCATCGGTACGCACCCACCGGGTAGGTAGTTACCTGGGGTTCTAGTGGGAAGTCGTGACCAGTAGGGTGCAGCAGGTCGGGTGTGAGGACAAATACTCGCCGAAGACATTGGCTAGCGGTTGCGCTATATCGTGAATTGGCAGAAGTTAGAATTCATGGGCCATTGGATCGGGTCCGAGTGGCTTAATGGTCTGCGAGCTCGCCTTGTAACCAGAAAGTCCTGGGTTCGAACTCTGAAGATGGGTGCGTACTGATGAAGAGTCCCAAACTAGTGGGACGAAACAGCTGTCCAGTACTGCTCCTGTTGGTTTTCCAATGGTTCTCTAACCAATGTCGGTGAAGTGGTTAGGACTCTCGCCGACCATGCACATGGTCGGGAACTCATGATGAATTCCTTTGGATTTCTTTTGTTAATAGTGATGAGTACTTGTTGATGTTGTTGGTCACTGGGTATCTTCATCACCCCCACCCCACCCCTCCCGGTACCACCCACCTGTCTTCTCTAGTATTCACTTAAAGTTCAGTCTTTTCATCTTCTTCTACCTACATGGTTAGCTTTTATCTGCACTGATATTGAGTTTAATTTAAACATGAACTCACTTGATTATACTAAGTGTTAGTGATTTTTTTTTCAAAAGAATGGATACTGAACAAAGAGTACTCTTTTCGATAAATTCATCATCAGGCTCTACAGTTATATATATCCATTATAGTGAATGAATGAATTAGTGTTATGAACGACATTAATGTTGTTTAAATAACATCGAATCAATAATATTGATAGATTACAGCTGAACAGCATCAACATAAAATAAGCTGAATGTCAGAAAAATTAGGAAAGATAATATTACAAATTCATGAATTTATAGTCTCTACTGAAGGCCGACCAGGGCAGTAGTAGGGGCTGGACTTGCTTCTTTTGAACACAGAGCACTGGTTGTTTGAGGCGAATTGCAATAGCCTCTGCTGTTTGGAGCATGCGGTGCTTCGATGATTTTGGTAGTTTGTTAGGCACCCGGTATATTATAGAGAAGGATTCTTCACACTGGCTTTGTGGCCGGCCGGTTTGCACCAGATGGTCCAATATCGAGCTGTTAACGGTTTTCACTACACCTTTACTTAGCCATACTAGGAAATGTTCTCGAGCGAGCACGAAAATCAAGTTCCTAGAGCAACGGCCAATATAACTCGCTCCACCATCAGCGCAGTTGAATTGGTAGATACAATTTGAAGTGGCTAGTCTAGGTACTTCATCTTTCAGTCGAGGTAGCACCATCGGTCGTGTAGAGAATAATACGTGTAGTTCGCCAGCATTGAAAGTTCTTTGAACTGATTTTCTTAATTTCTTCGTAATTATCTCACTTGGTATATCGCCCATGAATTGTAGTCGTATATATAAAGGCTTCTTGTTTACGGATAGTGAGTAGTCCTTTTCCGCTTTCTTTGTCATGTGTTTCTTGATAAATTTGTCAGGATAACTATTTTCGATCAAAGTATCATATACAATGCTTAATTCATCTTCAATTACTTCTTCTGAGCATATAGCTCTAACTCTGTGGCTGAGGGTCTTCACTAAATTTCTTTTGTAATTGATAGGAACGAAGCTGTGAAAATGTGTATATTGTCCTGTCCAAGTACTTTTTCTATGCAAATTTCTTTTTATGCTACCATCTGTTTTTCTTGTAAGTAGGACATCCAGGAAGGCAATTCTGTCTTGGGATTCCTCTTCGCATGTGAATTTCATAGCCGAATGTACTTCATTGAATTCAGTAATTATTGTACTCCTATCAGAACCATTATCACAAAGAATAAAGGTATCATCCATATATCGGCAATAAAATGAGAGCTTACTGATAAGGTTGTTCAGAGGTCTATTTTCTAGCTTACTTAAAAAAAAACACAACCAGAATGGGACCCAATGGGGAGCCCATCGCCACCCCGTCCACTTGCCTGTAAAGCGTGCCGTCAAATTTGAAGTTTACATTCTTTTTTTTGCTTCTAACATTTATTAGATTTCATTTATGCCTTTTAATTTTTCATTTAAAGTTGTCTAATCATGCCTACTGAAGGCGAGGAGGAAGAGAATACAACAACAAATGACGATGGTCCAAAATACAAAATATCCAGTTTTCTTTTTGGTAATGTTAATAAAGAAGGACAAATTGAAGAATATCAACATGATAATGAATTAAAATCGATTAATGATTTGGATAGATGTCATGTAAGAGAAGTGGAAGAAACTGCTACACATGTACTTTCTGACAATAGTAATAATGACAACAATCCTATACCATCTGTACAATCAGATGATGGCAGTAATCAACTGTTGACAACTTCTAATTCAATGGATTATTATAATGAACAAGAAGTAATAGCTGAAGAACTTGTAGAAAATGTTTTGCACACTATGAAACCTGAGAAGATTAAAGAGGTATTTTTTTTAAAAAAAAAGAGGTATATATTTTACAACTTTATTCCTGTTTAATTATTGTGGACATTCTCTCTGTGTGTGTATGTGTCAGTACAGGCTCCTGCCAATCTTCTAAATGCAAAGTACTGTTACAAGATTGCCAGGAGCCTGTACCTGCACTCACTCTTGCGGTTGTTGATAAGTTTGTGTATCTGGATAGTTGTGTGAATGCTGGCGGAAGTGTGACGGATGAGATTTCCAACCGTATAATGAAGGCTAGGGTGGCATACATCAACTTGAGCCACCTCTGGTGCCGTCGCGACGTTAGTCTGGCTGTCAAAGGTCGGGTATACAATGCTTCCGTGCGGCGGCTGTCTTGCTCGACGCCTGTGAAACCTGGCCTCTCCGAGCTGAGGATGTGCGGCGACTCTGCGTGTTCGATCATCGCTGTCTCCGCAGGGTTGCTTGCGTTTGATGGCATCATCACGTGAGTAATTCTGAGGTTCGGCGGCGTGTGTTTGAACACAGTGGAGATCACCATTCATTGAGTGTCGTCATCTGGAAACACCGGCTCCGGTGGCTTGGACATGTGCTGCGAATGTCATCCCAGAGGCTCCCGTACCGGTGGTCTCTGTTCGCTAGCCCTGGGACGGGATGGAAAAGGCGGAGGGGTGGTCAGTCCATGATGTGGCGTCGTGGGATGAGGGATTTTTGTGCTAGATTAGCATCGGTTGGTGCGTCACGACTCCCTGATTGGGGTCCGCGAGATAGCTGGAATCGATGGCTCGAAACGTTATCGGAATGGCCAAGAATCGTAATCAATGGCGAACGTGTTGCAATTTCTTTTTTTCTTCCCTTCCTGATGATAGTTGACGAATACTGCTTGAACTTGTTAAGTATGACTGTTTTCCTTCCAGATGAAGTTCTTTACCCGTTCTCTACTTATATTTTTACTTTTGATCTATGTTGTTTTATTATTATTGTGTGGCGCATCTTTCTTGGTGCCATATTGTACCAAGTTTTTTCTGCGTTTAAATAAATAAAATAAATAAATGTGTGAGTAATGGAAATATTGATTCCTGATGTCCCTAAATGTGCGTCGTTGGCACAGTGGTTAGGACGCTCGCCAACCATGCACGTGGTCCGGGGTTCGATCCCCGGCCACCGACGCACTCCTTTACCTCGCTAAGCCAGTAATAAAGATGGTAAAGAGGAAACGTTGGACATGAGGCTAGCAACCCCATCCTGTGAAAATAACCACCACTGCTATAGAAACTTCAAGCCTCTAGCTTGAAGTCCTATGTTCCTAAATTTGAATAATCTACGACCTTTATTGTCTTGTTAGTTCTTATATATATATATATATATATATATGAACGTTGAATTGATTGGTTGGGTGTACTATCTTCACAGAAAGTTTGGTGTGTTTTGTAAAATACGGACAGATATCCTTTTATGTTGTCGACACGAAAGTTGATTTTATCACACCTGAGTCTTTCCTGGTGTCATTAAATGCCTAACTGAAAAATGGAGAACAATATCATTCATATGGGAGAAATTTGAAAGAAGCAACCTCCTTTACCTACCTACCTACCTGGGAAGCATCGTTTCAACTACAGGCGGACGGAACTGATGAGGATATCAAGGCAGCGAGGATCATCGGGAAAGCAAGGCAAGCTTTCATTTCCCTCAAGTCTGTGTGGAGGTCAACAGCACTCAGTATGAAAAACAAGATGCGGATTTTCAACTCCAATGTGAATTCAGTGCTACTCACTGTACGGATGAGTGACTTGGCGCCGCGTCATAAAGGGCACTTCGAACAAACTACAGACCTTCATCAACAGCTCTCTTCGCTCAAGATCAGATGGCCGGCGAGAAAAGATCAGTAATAGTGAGGGATCTCTGACAATGAGCAACAAATATGCTGGTGAAAATGGAGGTAGGTGGATTGACCATACTCTGAGAAAACCATCAATTGAGTGACATCACACGCCAGGCCATCGCTCGAGTGGAACCCGAACGGGAAGCGGCGAGTTGGTCGTCAGTGCGAGGGTGGGGTGACATGGAGGAGATGATGTGAAGAGGAGATGAAATCATGTGGGGGCAGACGTGTAGCCAGGTGAAAACGTTGGCAGAGAACCGAACGCAATGGAGACGTGCGCGGCTAAAGTCCTATGTTCCTTTAGGAACTAAAGGAATCAATTGTAATAATCCTTCGTATAAATGATACAGGTTAGGAATAAGATTTAAAATATTTTACTCATTAAGAAATTCGTTTAATATTAAACAGGGAGTTGTATTCAGTAGTCATATCATCCAGATTTAGTGAACTTAAAAAGTATAATGGACACATTTAAGTTCATGCTTTAACTGTTGTCATTTGAATTCTTAGACTTTCATAACCACAGGTGTTTTAAAAAAAATCCCTTTACGTTCCCAGTGGAACATAGATACGGCTTCAAGCTAGAGCTATGAAGATTCGGTAGCAGTGGTATTTAATTTTACAGGATGGGTTTACCAGCCTCATGCCCAACCTTCTTTCTTTACCAGTCTTATTACTGGCTTATCAAGGTAAATGAGTGCATCGGTGGCCGGGGATCGAACCCTGAACCACATGAGGCGTAGTTGGTGAGCATTCTACCGCTGTGCCACCTACGCACAACCACAGGTGTACAAAGTCTAAACACTGACTACCTCTGAAGCTATGCTAATTTCTCGTGAATAGCGCAATAAAACGAAGAAAATATTGACCGTTTCGTTTTCTGTGGATAAACATTATACAAGATCTACAGTAACAATAAGTTCAGGCGAACGGAACACAATCAAGGTTGCATTAATGAAACATTTTTTTTACCATTCCTATTCATATCTTGGAATGTGGGTAAGCGCTTCCCTGCATCTATCTTTTTTTACTGAGAGTGTGAGCCTACAATGCAACTAAAGTACACAGTTTTTGATGTTTTCTGAGTCTTCTCATGAAACAAAAAACGAGGTCAACCATAATATGTACGCTTGATAATTTCTTAATAGATTTTCCCTAATCCGAACTGGGAAATAATTTCAAAAAGACTGGCACATTAATATTGGAAACATGTCTGTCTGTCTGTCTGTTTTCGACATAGAACTTTGCACCGATGTGCGGCAGTTCAAGTCGCCACACTCCACTCCTTATAGCACACAAAGCAAGAGAAGAAATTAGGAGAAATGCATATTAGAGACAGTAAACAGAGGTGTGAGACAAAGGAATAGTAATAACGAAGAACAATATAGTTTTATTGGTAATTATAAGTCACAAGGAGTGGATGCACCTGCCACTGAAAACGATTTTGAGCCATATCACCAATTGTTTCCAGCCTTCATTGGTTTTTACCGTCCCGAGGACCCCAACCAGGAAGTCTACACCTTCCTATGTGGCTTAAACTAACTGTTGTGGATTTCATTGACTGGTGCCATGTTTTCGTTTGACCACAGCTAGCTGTTTTCCAGCCTGACCCTATACCAGCTAACATTGCCCTCGAGGAAGGCGATGACTAAGCATGCGTAACACATGTCGTAACCATCTCAGTCGATGTAATTTCACAGCCTCGTCGATTGATTTCCCCTCCTCATCTTGCACTAGACCAACGCCTAACCTCAATATTTCCCACCCTATTACACCTACCATTTCACACGGGAGATAGAACGCAGACACCTATGATGAAAGACAGCTAATATTTTTATGTCTTCCACTCCCAATGGCCACGTCTCACAGCCATAAAGGAGGACGGAGCGGACTGATGAGCAGTACACACGCCCTTTGGTCGATAGTGGGATATCACGTCTACGCCAGAGACGGCGTAAACTGGTGCATGCGAAACGAGCCTTCTGTATTCGTGCTGAGATTTCGTCAGAGATCAACCCGTTGGGGCTGATGGTACTTCCCAAGTAAGTGAAGCAGTCAACGTGCTCTACCACTTCACTCCCTATTTCTAAACTAAGAGTCAGTGTAGTCCAGTCCTGTAACATCATCTTACATTTGGCGGGAGCGATTCGCATGCCAAACATTCGTAGATTGCAGTTCAAGGTGTTCAGAAGACTCTGCATTTTGTCAGCGTCCTCGCCAAGAAGGACTATATCGTCTGCATATTCTCAATCAACGAGATTATTCCCTGGTAGCAAGTCGATCTCTGAGTCTCTGAAGTGAGTTAGCGTTGAATCCATTAGTACATCTATGATGAAATTGAATAAAAATGGGGATAATGGGCATTCCTGACGGACACCACTAGTCGTCACCACTTCAGATGACAATTCGGCGTAAGCCCTCACCTGGCTGCATGAGTTCAAGTAAAGTCCTTTGATCAGTGCAATGAATTGGAAACATGTACTTCAAAGGAGTGAGTAAGAGGTACTGTAATTCCAAATATATTATTACAATAGTCATACAAAAAAAAGAATCATGGACTAATTAATTGCATGTAGCAACATTGGGCTGATCAGTGAGTGGCAATCAGTATGCTGAAATTTGATTGGTTGGTTATCTGATTAAAACATACAGATAATCAATATTTGTATCATTTAAATTCTGACTGACAAACTATCTATGTAACTTGTAGTTACGCGTAACACACGGATATAGTAGTATAGTTCCTTTTGAACCAACATCTTCAGTGTGAAGTGAGTGAGCTTTAGCAATTCTCTGTGATCGGTTGGTTGTTCCCGTAGATTTTCTGATGATTGGATATAGTTAGAATTTAATTGGTGGATGGTGACTAGCAGTGGAATCCAGGACAACACGCATTTCGTCCTATTTGGGACTCGTCATCTGACTGGATGTACCTGCATTTCCCAGTGAGTGATGATGTTCCCAGACATCGTCGAAGCATCTGCACAAGAAGCTGACATGTCAACCTGAGACCGAGCACTTCGATCCAATCAATCGACGGGAAAATCTAAAATTCAATTAAAATTGGATATAGTTGTATTGACATTGATCCTCTTGTTGACCTGATATTTGACCATTTGTGATGACCAGTAAACATAACGCGCGAGTTATTTGGTATTGGACTTTTTTTCAAGTTTTATTTCTAAGCAAGGTTAAGAAACTGCAATCTACTGATTGAAAATTGACCACCCAAGTCAAACAGCCATATAGAACTTCATTTAGGTTAAAGAGTCGAATATGAAACAATTCTATTGAAATTATTGACATGAAGTTCCACTCCATTTTGTTATTTATTTGCTCTTCACTTCTTATTTTCTGGTGAAAATTCCCTTATCACCAGAAGGGGTACAGATAATTCATCTGAACGTTCCTTAAACAGCTTGTTTATGAAGGAAATATTCCCAATTACTTTTTTTTACTTCAAGATTGATTATGGACTGACTTCGGTTAGAGAACCATTGAAAACCCCACCAGAAAGTAGTGGACAACTGTTTCTTCTTGTTTTGGACTCTTCAACAGTATGCACCATTGACACCTCACTAGGAATTGGACCCAGTAGCTTCAGATTAGAAGACTAGCTCGTATACCATTCACAGTCACAGTTGATCACTTCTAAATTCTGACCACCAACCAATGTCGTCAGCGAGTATTCGTCCTTACACCCAACTTGGTGCACCCCGCTGGTCACGACCAACCACTGGAAGTTCAGGAAACTTCATCATGCAGTTAGTCATTTGCTTCGACTCATCGTGGCGTTGAAGAGTCCCGAATAAGGACAAAATAGCTGTCCAGTGCTACCTGGTTTTCAGTGAATTTCTAAGTGAAGCCAAATCCTTGCGAACTAACACCTGAAAACTTATTATTAATATTATTTTGTGGATAGTTTTTATATTGATTGAACCCTTGTGAAAGATCTAATTAAATCACTTATTTTTTTTCCCCACAGGATGATTACGATTCATGTGATGATACAGAACTTGGAGCTAGTCAAACACCAAAAGGCGAATCTGATCCAAAGTCACTACCAACTGAAGAGAGGCAAACTTCACCTCAAGAAGAAAAAAATACAACAACTGTTCAATTATCATCTTCTAGTGAATCTTCATCACCCAACCATCAGGTCAATATGATGGAGGCGGCGGCTAATCATGAGCAGACAACTGGAGAAGAAATACTAGAGGCGTCATCATCACCAACATTGTTATCATCATCATCGCCTGCTGAGATGATGATCTCTCCATACAAATTAATGAGTTATGCTGATATTAGTGTTTCAGAGGATGCAACACTTATCATGCCGCCTCCATTGCATCCTGCACCTCTTTCAGTCTCACGGTCAAATCAAGTTAAGGTAATTGATTAGAATTGTTTAAAATTTACCGGTTAGTTTCATATCCACTACTGAATTGTATCACTATAATTGAGATTTATATTTAGTTGACACTGGATAGCGCTAGAATCTAGGCTGTTTGAAACTTTTCTCAGCCGGCGTTCTCAAAGAGACTCCCAACCAGCACTCATCGTTTCAAACTCCAGTCTCTGTAGGAACAGTGTTACTCACTGGGGATCTAGGTACATGTGGCTGATGAATCCCAAAAATAGGACTGAATGATCATCCCTAATTATCTTTAGACATCGTCGAAGCCTCCATACTAGGAGATGACATGTCAACAGAGACCAGACATTTCAGTCTAATAAAAATCAGTCGACCGGAGACACAAAATTAATCACACGTGCAGGGTGCAGGGTTCGACTCCCGACTGACGTACTTCCAAATCTCGGTGGACTGGTAGTAGTAAGGCTGGAGGAGAGAGAAGATTGGACGTGAGGTTAGCAAGCCTACCGACTGAAAATAAAGCCACTGTTACCAAAACTTAAAATCTTTAGTCTGAAGCCCAATTTTCCACTCGGAACGTTAAGGGATAAAATAAAAGAGAATACAAATAGATTCCATAATAGGCCATGGTAGCAATGGTGATTGACTAGACCTGTTTCCTTTGTGCGCGCACAGTTTTGGTTGTTTTAAGCGAATTTGCTATGGCTTCTGCTGTTAGGAGTATTCAGTATTGAATAGGTCCTTCAATACTGGTTTTATGGCCTGATTGAATCAGGCGATCTAATATAGAACGCCTAATTGTTTTTATCACACCTGTACTCAGCCGCATTGGTAGGTGATCCCAACGACTATCGACCAAAGGGCGTGTGTACTGCTCAACAGTCCGCTCCGTCCTCCTTTATGGCTGTGAGACCATTGAGAGTGGAAGATATGAAAAGATTAGCTGTCTTTGATCATAGGTGTCTGCGTTCTATCTCCTGCGTGAAGTGGCATAATAAGGTGAGCAATATTGAGGTGAGGCCTCGGTCCAGTGCTAGGTAAGGAGGGGAAATCAGTCGACGAGACTGTGAAGCTACATCGACTGAGATGGTTAGGACATGTGTTACGTATGCCTAGTCATCGCCTCCCTCGACCGACAGGCAATGTTAGCTGATATAGGGTCACGCTGGAAAAGAGCTAGTGGCGGTCAAACCAAAACATGGCACCAGTCAATGAAATCTACAACAGTTCGCCTAGGCCTCGTAGGGAGGTGTAGACTTCCTGGTTGGGGTCCTCGGGACGGTAAAAACCAATGAAGGCTGGAGACAATTGGTGACATGGCTCAAAATCGTTCTCAATGGCTGGCGGTGATGCATCCACTCCTTGTGACTTATGATTTCCAATGAAACTGTTTTGTTCTTCGTTATTACTATACCTTTGTCTCACACCTCTGTTTACTGTCTCTAATATGCATTTCTCCTACTTTCTTCTCTTGCTTTGTGTGCTACAAGGAGTGGAGTGTGGCGACTTGAACTGCCGCATATATGTGCAAAGTTCTATGTCGAAAACAGACAGGTGATCCCGACTACGAGAAAAGACAAATTCCTAGAGCAACAGTCAATATAAGCGACTTCACATGAACAGTTGAACTGATAGGTAGATAGATAGATGTGACCAGGTTAGGTACTTCATCTTTGCATTTGAGGAATTACATTCGGTCGTGTTTTTTTGTTATTGCTTCCTGTTCCCAGTGGAACATACGGCTTCAAACTAGAGGCCTGAAGTTTCTGTAGCAGTGGTGCCTACTTTTACGGGATGAGGTTGCTAGCCTCATGGGCAACCATCCCTCTTTACCCGTCTTATTACTGGCTTCGCGAGGTAAAGGAGTACGTCAGTGGCCAGAGATCGAACCCCGGACCATATGAGGCGTAGTTGGCGAGCATTCTACCACTGTGCCACCGACGCACCATTCGGTCATGTGGCAAATATGAACTGCTGCTGCTTACCAGCATTGGAATTTCTTTGAGTCGATTTTCTTAACTTGGTAAATCAATAACCTTTGAATTGCAATCAAATTTAGAGAGAGGCTTCTTGTTTACAGACATAGAATACGTCTTTTTGTTTTGACTTTACTATTATTTCAACTTATTTGTTTATCATGTTTATCAATAAATCCAAAGTTCTTAAATAAAATAGCATAAATAAATTTTTTCCTCTTTTTTTCAGCCTGTTTATTCACGAAATCTTGATTCACCAATCTGTAGTCCAATTGCTGTTACCTATCATTCACATTCAGAATGCACAAGAAGTCCAAGTTATTCACCGTCTTCTCTACAAAGTCATGATAATAATAATAGTGATAATGGCCTGATGAATACACCTTTGGGTAGTCTTATGCCAGTAGAATATGCAAATGTTGACATTAAAGAACTTTTCCCTGCATATGATCCAGGAAAAACACCCTTATGGGGACGGTTATTTCGATTGCCACATCCATTGGGTGTCTATCATGAATACATTGAACGTTATGCGTATATGGAAGAGATGCTATCACACAGATTGTCAAGAAGTGATCGGTAAGTGGGGTTGTGTTGTGTTGTTTTTGTTTTTTTTTTCTCATTTTATACGAATAAGATGTCGACGATTGTGGTTATATTATATTATTATTATTAGTAATTATTACTATTGTTCCCTTGGGTTCCTAGTGGAACATAGGGCTTCAACTGCACGTCTCCACTTGCTTCTGTCTTCTGCTGTACTTTTCACCTGAATCCATGTTAGTCCATACTGTTTCAACTCCTCTTCACACGATCTCCTCCATGTCACCCTTGCACTGACGTCCCACTCGCCGCTTCCCATCGGTTCCACTCGAGCACTGGCCTGACGTGCGATGTCACCTAGCGGCCTCCTCAGCGAGTGAGTGTCCAATCCATCTCCACTTTCTCCTGCATATTTGTTGGGCGATTGATTCTTGTTTTGTTTGTTCCCATAGTTTCTTGTTGGTTCTTGTTCTTTCCGGCCATCTGATCTTCAGTATAGAGCGAAGACAGCTGTTGTTGATAAAGGTCTGCAACAGGCTGTTGGAAATATTCTTTGTGACCCGCCAAGTTTCTGATCCTCGTATAGAAGAAGTGACTTGACTTTTGTATATTGGAAATCCGAATTTTGTTGTTGATGCTGAGTGACGAAGATTTCCAGACCAGATTGGTTTCAGGTTGATGAATGTGTTTCTCGCCTTCCCGATTCTCGATTTGACATCCTCGTCCGTTCCATGTGCCTGTAGTTGAGACAATGCTCCCTAGATAAGTGAAGTGATGAAGTAACCTCTTTCAAATCCCTCCCGTTGATGGTGATTGGCGCTGCATGTTGCTGATGCTGTTGTTGTTGTTGGATGGTTATTTTCATAACCTCCGTCTTGTCTATGTTAACCTGGAGTCCTGTCTTTGCTGCTTCTTCGACCAGTTTGTCGGTTTTCGCTTGTAAGTCTTCGATTTTGTTTGACATCAAACATAAATCATCCACGCGCGAAATCCAGGTCTTCTAGGTTCTTCACGTCGGTCCAGGATATCCCTGTCTCCTCGTTTCCTACTGTCTGACGCATAATCCAGTCCACCACAATTGGAAATATCATTGGTGATAATAAGCACCCTTGTCTGACTCCTGTGTTTACTCCAAACGTCTCGCTGAGTTTTCCGTTGTGGATCACTTGACATGTGCCGTTGTCGTACAGCTGTTGAATAAGGTTGATGAATATTTGGGGTACGCCGTAGTACTCGAGTAGTTTCCAAATTACTTTGCGGTCAACGCTGCGCTGTCGAAGGCCTTCTCAAAGTCTATGAAGTTGAGGTAGAGGTTTGATTGCCATTCCATGCTTTGTTCTTTGATGATGATGCGTAGAGTTGCGATTTGGTCAGAACATGATTTGCCTTTCCTGAACCCAGCTTGTTCTGGTTGGCGGAGTTCTGTATCCAGTGCGTCCTTTATTCTCTCCAGGATGATGTGACTCAGGATTTTACTTGGCGTAGACAGGAGCATGATTCCTCGCCAGTTCTTGCAGAGTCCTTAATCGCTCTTCTTTGCTAGTTTCACGAAGTAACCTTTCCTCCAGTCAGTAGGCACCTTTCCCTCCTTCCAGACGATTGTGGTGGTAGAGTTATATAATTCTGCCATAGTGTACATATAGTGATACAGACTCACTTGTTTTTACTGATAAAGTTTTGAGTACACAATTTATTATTGGTCTCACTATCATGGCCAAGGGCGGAGAGGGATTCACACGTAATTTTCAAACTTTCTTTACATCATTCCATTGTTCATTTATCCTTTAATTTTATTGGTAGTAGTATTCTGCATATCTCTGGTATTGGTGTGTGTGTGTGTGTTGTGTCATTCTTATTGGAAGTGTTAGAGGTATAGGGTTTGATGGATAAAGATTCAGTAATCAACCTCTTTTTCCACCTACCTTTATTACTCTTTAGAAGTGTAACTCTGTCCCACCCAGCCTATTGTGTGGTTGTGTGTGTGTGTTAACGTATGCAGTGCAGTTGTTGATTTTTTTGCCCTAAATTACTTATCTTCGCTGGTGAGGTCAATCATTCTAACCTTAGCTAAATTCTTATGTTCTGATTATCTGAATACTCCCCCTCTCCCGATCTACCAGTTTGATCTATGTAGTTCACTTAACTCACAGTCATTGGAAGGTATTTTGTAAATTAAATTATTTTGTCTAATTGTGTCAACCTACAGGGTCCTTTAGCCAACAGAGCTTGTCTCTGAGTGAGTTTATATGTTTGAATGCCACCCTAATTCCTGCTTCATTAAGAATCCTACTACGTAGGGTCTCAGATTTCTCCTCCTTATATAGTAAAACTACTACATTAGATGCCTCATATTCTCTTATTTCTGTCTGGATTCAACATAGAACTTGGCACCGATGTGCAGCAGTTCCAGTTGCAACGTTCCAAATACCACACAAAGGTAGACAAGAAAATGAGTGAAGAGAATCAATAGAGTTTTGACAAGTATAAGAGTGAAACAGAATGAGTAATGGTAGAAAGGAATATGAAAGATTACAGAGACTGAATACATCTGCGTAAGCCATTGACAACGAGTTTGAGCCATGTCACCTATTGTCTCCAGCCATTGATTCTTAGAGTCCCGAGGGCCCCAACCCGGAAGTCTGAATCTCCCTACCTGACTCAGTTTAACTGTCAGGGATTTCATGGATTGATTGATGCGATGTTTTTGTTTGGCCACCACTCACTTTTCCAACCTGCACCTATATCAGCTTGCTAGTAATGCCCGTCGGGGGAGGCGATGGTTAGGCATGCGCAGCACGTGACCTAGCCATCTCAACCTATGTAACTTTATAGCCTCTTCGATTCCTTTTCCCTCTTTGTCTAACACTCTACGCCTAACGTCAACATTACTTACCTTATTATACTACGTAATGTGAGAAAGAGATCGTAGACATCTATGATCAAAAACAGTCAACCTTTTCATGTTTTCAACTCGTATTTATTTATGTTATCATTGTTAGTTTCACCATTATTTTTTATTTTGCTTTCGACCTTTTCTGATCTTCCTTATGAATTTTATAGGATAGTTAGTTATTTAACACCAACGCTTCTTCTTCCTCTATCTGTTTCATTTCATCATTTAGGCTTTATGTTGTACTACTTAGTGCTATTGCTCGGTTTGTTAGATGAACACTTAACTAAGCCTGCCTTCACAGATAGATAACGGATGAGGTGATGAATTAAAGTCTAAATATCTATTAGCAGAATGTGTTGGCTTTTTATAAACACAAGTGTGCAGTCTACCTTCTTCTGTTAGTTTTATTTTACAATCCAACATCATAGCTAGTTCTCCTTGTTCATTTGTTTTCCGATTGAAATGTGAATTTTATTCCTTTTACTAGTGAGTTTATATGTGTCAAGAAACTAGAGAGAGATATGTTCTGTTTTTAACAATATGTGGAAAAGTGTCACCCATATATCTCCACCATATTATTGGAGTAGGAATAAATGTATTAAGAGCAATATTTTCCCAGCTATCCATAAATATATCTGCTACGATAGGGGATATTTGTTATACATCCCATTGCTACACCTTCAGTTTGTCTATATATTTCGCCTTGGAATTTAAAGATAGTAGATGTGAGGCACAACTGAATTCCTAAAATACTTTTCTCAATGGCGGTAGGGTAGCTTTGTCCTGTGAGTAAGTTCAGGATCTGCATTTAGTTCTCTTTTAACTGCTTCTAAAGCTGCCATATTGATTGGTATATTAGTGTATAAAGACTAGTTATATCAAGGCTAACCATTTTTTCTCTCTCATTATTTCCTATATCTGAACATCATTCAACTTCTTTTTCATTTCAAATGAATTAGTTAGCCTAAAGTTTGAATGATTTCTGAAGGGAAATAATATTAATGCTAAGTGTTTATAGAATTCATAAGTAGGGAGTATTTCTAAAATCAGTTACTGGTCGTATAGAATAATTAGCTGGATGACTGTCTGTTATCACATATTATATTTTTAATTGTGGTGAACTGGATTATGCATCAGACTGTTGGGGGCAAGGAGACAGGAATACGCTAGACCATCGATTAGAAGACTCTAGAAGATCTGGATTTCGCAGATGATATATGTCTAATGTCACACAAACTCGAAGACTTGCAGGCGAAAACCAACAAACTGGCTGAAGAGGCAGCGAAAACAGGACTACAGGTGAACACAGAGAAGACGGAGGTAATGAAGGTAACCAACCACAGCAACAACCAGCACCAATCACCACCAACGGGAAGGATTCGACAGAGGTTGCCTCCTTCACTTATCTGGCCAGGAAGCATCGTTTCAACTACAGGCGGCGCAACGGACGAAGATGTCAAAGTCATCGAGAATCGGAAAGGCAAGATACGCCTTCATCAACCTGAAACCAGTTCGGAAATCTTCTACACTCAGCCAGCATAAGGAACAAGTTTCGCATTTTCAGCACCAATGTCAAGTCGGTCAGTGCCTCTATATGGATCAGAAACTTGCACTGCCTGTCACGAAATAGATTTCCAACAGGCTAATGTTGACTTTGATCAACAGCTGCCCGTTTCGCTGGCTCCATACTGAAGATCAAATGGCCTGCTGGCCAGAAAGAATAACTAACAAGAAACTATGTGGGAACAAACCAACAGGCAAGAGGCGATCGCTCAAGAAATATGTAGGAGAAAGTGGAGATGGATCGGGCACACATTGAGGAGGCCGCCTAATGACATCTCACGCCAGGCCATCGCTCGAGTGGAATCCAAATGGGAAGCGACGAGTGGGTTGTCGGTGCTAGGGTGACATGGAGGAGATCGTGTGGCGAGGAGGAGATGAAAGAGTTTGGTCAGTCGTGGACCCAGCTGAAGAGGACGGCAGAAAACAGAACATAGCGATGTGTTGTTGAAGCCCTACGTTCCACTCGGAACGCAAGGGAATAATAACAATAATAAAATAATAGAGAGCTGAATTTCTTGATAAACAACTAATTCAATCTTGCCGTTTAAATAGATAACTTGCTTTGTATTTTGCTTTCTTTCTCACCCCAACCTCTTTTTCTCTCTTTTACCATTCTCCCCTTTCCAGTCAACATCTTATATATGATGGAATTTTAGATCTTGGAGAAATCCCCTTACCAGAAGATATTATCTCTAATGATGAAGTTGTGGAGTTGAACACCCCACCAACACCAGGATTGGATTATTTAGCTGGCAGTGAAACATCATGGTGGCGTAGAGCATTTAAAACTGCTCTTGAAGAATTATTGAATCCTAAAAATGAAAAGACTGAACAAGATGACAATTATAATAATGATAATAAGAATAAGAATAAAAAGGAATTTCAACAACAACGACAGCAACACCAACACCAACAGTTATACTTAGATGAGAATAATAATAAAAGCCATGAAATAAGCGATTCAGATTACAATGATACAGATAGGTGAGTATCTCATTCTATTATTATTATTATTATTATTATTATTGTTCAGTTCTCGCTATTTAGTGAGATTATTGTTGCTGTTTTTTGTTTTGTTTTGTTTTGTTTTGTTTTACGTTTGAAACGATGAGTAGTGGGTGGCTCAAAGTCTCAGTGGGGAACACTGTGTGTCACCCAATTCGGTCTGTCTATTTTCGACATTGGATTTCATTGACTGGTGCCATGTTTTGGTTTGACCGCCACTAGCTCTTTTCCAGCCTGACCCTATATCAGCTAACATTGCCCATTATCGAGGAAGGCGATGATTAGGCAGGCATACGTAACACATGTCGTAACCATCTCAGTCGATGTAGCTTCACAGCCTTGTCGACTGATTTCCCCTTCTCACCTAGCACTCGACCGACGCCTCACCTCAATATTTCTCACCTTATTATACCACTTCACACGATAGATAGAACGCAGACACCTATGATCGAAGACAGCTAATCTTTTTATGTCTTCCACTCTCACTGGCTCGGCTCTCACAGCCATAAAGGAGGACGGAGCGGACTGTTGAACAGTACACACGCCCTTTGGTCGATAGCCGGATATCACGTCTACTAAGCCATAGACGGCGTAAACTGGCATATGTAGAACTAACCCTCTGTATACGTGCTGAGATTTCGTCGGAGAACAACCCGTTGGGTCTGATGGTACTTCGCAAGTAAGTGAAGCGGTCAACGTGCTTTACCACTTCACTACCCAATTCGGTACAGGTTTGATCATGAATTGGCATCAGTTAGAGAACCATTGAAAACCAACAGGGAGTACTGCCAGACAGCTGTTTCATCCTAGTTTGGGACTCTTCATCAGCACCCACCCACTGGGGTTCAACCCCCCACTCCTGGATATTCGGGTCACAAGACGAGCTTGCAGACGACCATTTAGCCACTGGGATCCGATCCAATGGCCCGTGAATTTTCTACTTCTGCCAATTCACGATATGTATATATTTAGCGCGACCGCCAGCTATAGGCAAGTAACTGGTCTCTTCACCTGACTCAGCGGACCCCATTGGTGGTTCCGGCTTCTCACTAGAGCTGCAGGTTTGTGCACGGGTTGGCATTAGTTAGACAACCGTTGAAAAACCTGAGGGAGTACTGGATAGCCAAGTCAGTGAGCTCACACGTAACCCGAAGGTGATCACAGTTAGAATCAACTAACGGCTAATTTAAGTATTTATAGAAATGTCAGAATCTTGAACAATATATCTTCCTATCAACTGTTTCGAGAATACCCCTTCCCCTCAGGTCCCGATAGAGATGTTCGTATTCATTCAAGTGACTGTAAATTGATGAATCTCGTGTTGAATTCCACTGCTAGCCTCTTTCAGCTGAATAACCGGTGATTTCTTCATTTGTTAACATATTCGGTTAAAGTCAGTGAGGTGAATGCTGCTGTTTCGATGTGATTCGGCTTGTATATCCTGATGACCCAAGGAGGAGTTACACTGGCTGAAACGAGTGTTACTGTAGAGATCCTACCATGTTAGAAAAGTTATTTGGATAGCGAGCAGTATAAGCTGTTTAAGGGTATTTTGATTGAAAGCATTAAAGTAACTTTTGTTGCATAATGAAATGCGACTTGGGGATCTGCTATCGGGTAATGTTGCCATGATGACGTAGACGTAACAGAATGATTGTTAAGAAAATCCTCTCCCCCCCCCTCCGTCACTCCCAGTGGCATGCGTTGCCCCCATAATCCAGCTGGTACAGCCAAGGATGTGTAGACTACAGTCTTCTTCTAGAAGAGCTCTCAGGTAGCTACGCGTTCATATCCTCTGACAAGTAATTCCCATTAACTGCCTTCACGCGGCACGGTTGTTCCTCACAAAAGTGAAATGGCGAATACGAACGTGTGACACTTATAGCTAGACTGGTGTGGAAAACCCTGTTTCCAGACCTATGATGTACATGGGCCCAAGACTCCTAATGGTGTATGTATGAACCTGGGAACGTAGTTCCTGATGCTGCTGTACACACTGCCTTGTGAATCAGACTTCAAGTGTGAAAGGTTCGCTGGGCAGAAGTTTAAAACAGACACTTGCCTTACTTAGTCTAGTTGTTTGTGAGCAACATCCCAACTGTTGTACAAATCTTGAGAGACTATGTGTGACGCACCACAGTGTATCAAGTTTATATTTTTTTTAACAGTAATAATGAGCTGTATTCGTTTCTCAAAATTTAGTTATATTGGTTGGCGATTAGGACCTGCAAAATATTGGTATGATCAATTAGGCCTACCGCTGGATATCAATATCTCTGAATGGACAGAATGGAGACGACCGTTACCAACTACTGTGAACTGTAATAACAGTAGTAGTAATAATTCAAGTTCTATTCTTTCTGTTCCACCGTCGTCACCGCCACAACCACCACCCATCCTCTTCCCCCTCATCATCATCATCGTCACCACCATCCCCATCAGTGACGATGACAACACCAACAGCAACCGCCGATGAGCCTGTTGAGAGTGCAGATAATGATAAGAATAATTCTATCGATATGCATAAATCAGTTAGTGATTCAAATTGTCCGGCAGTGATAAAAAAAGAGAATAATACTGATAATACCACCACACCTACAACGACAACAACAACAACGACTGCTGCTACTACTCTGCCGAATGGGAATTTTTCACTTCATGAATGTCACAAACAAGATCCAGATGAATCATTGGTTCTTTCACCTCCAACACCACGTAAGTTAAGTACTTATACTTCAATAAACATATATATCTATATGTATATATGCATGTTGGATACCACTTAGTAATTAAGACTATCACATATTAAGCAGGATGTTAAAGGTTGTCAGAAGGGTAAGCAACGTGTCACTTAACCAACTTGTTAATATTCTGGTCGACAGACAGGCGCATGGACTCATGTGAAAAATGGGCCAAATCCATTTTATCTAACTCACGCCACCCTCTTCACGCACAACTCTCCCCTTGCATCTCATCAGGTGAAACCAGAAGCCTATATAGAAAACTATATGCTCGCACCAGCAAGTACAAAAAAACCAGTACCATACCCTACTTAGCTCGTGTTCTGTGCGATAAAGAAAGCATTAGGCGTGACACCTATAATTCATTAAATAGTCAGTAGTACAACTGGATCTCGTCTTTCCAACTCATATCATTTATAGGTACAACATTTTCTTTCTTTCTTTTCCTTTTCTCTCTCTCTCTATTTTCTTTTCCGTTATGTGCTATTTTGTTTCTTTCTTCCGCTTCCGCCAGTAAATATGACAGCACCTACTTTTCTAACACCTTCAAACACTTTCAGCCTTACCTTTGCTACCGATATACCAATATGTTGTTGTCGAAATGAACTGAAATTTCCTTAATCTATGTAGAATTCTATTTATTGATAATGTACTAACTGGATGCAATACTGTAGTAAAAATGCTGAGAATTCCATTCTGTATCACAAGCACTGTTTTGGAATAAAACAAATTATTATTATTATTATTATTAATGTCTTGCTTCTAGTCCTTTTGTTTGGTACAGACTAAATTCTATTAATAATCAACTTTACAATGTAGCCACTATACCAGGTGGCTTGCCATCATGGTGCATTCTGAATTGATGTCAGATGGTTGGAGGCAATCAGAAGAAAGCTTTGGATCTAGATTGGTTCTCACCAGCCAGTAAGGCGTATTTGCAATCTTGAGGGGACTTGTGTCCCTTGTGAGATTCGAACCTTTGTCACCCAGTGCTACAGTTAAAGACATTACCACTGAGTTATTCGGGCTCATTTCAACCGATTGTGAAACAAATAAGCAAGAAGAAATGGAGATGGATTGGCCATAATCTAAGGAAACCATCAAGTGACATCACTAGACAAGCCATTGCTTGAGTGGAACCCGAAAGGGAAGCGGCGAGTTGGTCGTCAGTGCAAGGAGGAGGTTATGTGAAGAGGAGATGGAAACGTGTGGGCAGACTTGGAGCCAGGTGAAGACTCTAGCAGAGAACCGAATGGAATGGAGACGCACGGCTGAAGCCCTATGTTCCTCTAGGAATTAAAGGAAACAGTAATAATAACATTCGGGCTCGTGACCGACTTCTTGCAAGACTGTATCGGTTACGTTGGTTGAGCACTAGGTAGTAATTAATCTAATCCTTCATTCAGGGCAGAGTGAATTCTATCAGTTAAGGTCAACTGCAAGCCTGAATAGCTCACTGGTGACGTCTGTGACTGCAGCACTAGTTGACCCAGGTCTAAGTCCCAGAAGAGATAAAACCTTGGTTCAAGACTTCCTCCTGAATGCCTCCAACCATCCTGTACCAAACATATATACATGTTATTATATATCTATTGAATCCCTTGTGTTTTCAGTGGATCATAAGGCTTCAGGCTTGAGATCTTAAAGTTTAAGTAACCGTGACGTTGTCTCACAGAGTGGGGTTGGCAGGTTCAAGCTCAACTTTATCCCTTTCCCGGGATTACTACCGGCTGGGAGTCGTACTCCCAACCTCTGTCTGCCTGTCTGGATTCAACATAGAACTTGGCACCGAAGTGCAGCAGTTCCAGTTGCCACGTTCTAAATAGCACACAAAGGTAGACAAGAAGATGAGTGAAGAGAATCAATAGAGTTTTACCAAGTATAAGAGTGAAACAGAATGAGTAATGGTAGAGACTGAATACATCTGAGTCCCCCCCCAGAATCGAATCCCACTCTACCGACTTCAATCTGGGCGACTGACTATGGGTGTAGCATCAACAGCCCTTAAAAAACATGTTTGGCTAACAGCCTTGACCCTGATAACTGAGCCCTAACAAACTATAAGTACCCAGTTATGAAGGGTAGGTAGTACAGCATGGCTAATTAGTCTGGGTGCTCTCTATATCCAACCACTGGGTGGGTGGTCATGCATCAGTACTGTGCTTCACTACTCGGTGAGGTTTGGTCAGCCAGATAGCCTTCAAGCAAGATAGACGTAGCTAATTTCCAAAAGCATAGAAATACCAGTGGTTGTGGTGAGTATAACAGTTATTCAGGGGTGAAATCCCGCGGTTTTCTTAATTCAACCTAATATACAAGTAATTGTTTGCAAGGAGTTGATGGATTTCAAGTCTGATGGCTAATTGACACCAGTTGGCGAATCATGAAGTACCGGTTAGCTTGAATGGTCACTGGGTTCGCTTCGTAATCCGAAAGTTGGGGAGTAGGTTCAATACCCTGGTTAGGGGCACATAGGTGGTTGTGCACTACTGAAGAGTCTGGGACTAGGACGAAACAGTCCTCTAAACGATGTTAAAATTAATCTGAATTTTTTGTTTTTGTTTTCAATGTTCTCCTCTCCACTTTCTTTTATTCTCCTTCCTACCAGGTAAGAATAACTCACGAACATTGTCATCGGAAGATATTCATCAGCCGAATCACTTTTATCCGCATCAATTATTGAATTGGGAAGATGACATTATCTATGATCCTCAATTGAGTGCTGCTAAAATTTCTACTTATTCCCGGTTAAATGCTGCCTATGCCGGTTGGATACCATCACAGCATTGTCGTACTATGTCAGCATTTCAAGTAGGAGATTATTATTATTATTAAACATTTTAAAATAATTCATTAATGATAGAGAAGATTTGCAGCTCGAGTGGGTGATTTTGATGTAGTGGAGTTACGTTCTCTGAACTGGCTGGTTCAATTGCAAAACTTTCTCCGACGCCTTTTAGATAACATATATTATTATTATTATTCCCTTGGGTTCCTAGTGGAACATAGGGCTTCAACTGCACGTCTCCACTGGCTTCTGTCTCCTGCTGTACTTTTCACTTGCATCCATGTTAATCCATACTGTTTCAACTCTTCTTCACACGATCTCCTCCATGTCACCCTTGCACTGACGTCCCACTCGCCGCTTCCCTTTCTGATTCCACTCGAGCTATGGCCTGACGCGCGATGTCACCCAGCGGCCTCCTCCTCAGAGAGTGTCCAATCCATCTCCACTTTCTCCTGCATATTTGTTGAGCGATTGGTTCTTGTTTTGTTTCTTCACATAGTTTCTTGTTGGTGATTCTTTCCAGCCATCTGATCTTCAGTATAGAGCGAAGACAGTTAGTTGTTGATAAAGGTCTGCAACAGGCTGTTGGAAATATTTTTTGTAACCCACCAAGATAACATATAAATTCAAATGAATACTGTAACGATAAAAGATGAGAGAATTAGTAAAGAAATGTTTATTTGGAATTTGGTATCTGTATATAGCCAAATTAGGTACAGCTTATCTTCAACGCACCATTTGCACCAATCCTCCTTGTTGTGCTACTTACGGTCTTTCTTCAATATTGTGTTTCTTTGTGTTCATTTCACGTCTCCCATGTATCTCCGCAAGCAACTCTGTATCATTTGCTTTCTCTGACATTAAATGTATCTCCCTGATAATTGTTGTTTTTATGCCGATGAATATCTCTTTCTATACATATATTGCTGATAAATCTTATCAGTAGTACACGCCACAATACTACTAGCAAGAAACCATCCTCAGAAACCAGATGAAAATTCATCCCAAGCAAATATAAAAATATTTCTGAAACAACAGTTGGAATACTAAAACCATTTGGAATAGATGTCCATAAAATATAAACCAACACAATCACTTCGTCCAGTAACTATGCGGACTAATAGACTCTATGATTTAAAACAAGCAATAAAGGTTAATAAAGCAGGATTTAATGAATTCATCAAATTTCGGTAGAACTCGTCAGCTGAATACTCTACATACACGGATATATACTTTTGAAGTTACATTGGGAGATATAGGACTGAATACTTTACATACACGGAAATATATACTTTTGAAATTACATTGGGAGATATAGGACTGATAAGTAAATAAACTACATTGAATTAGTCATGCAGAAAGACAGGTGCGAATGTTTTTCCAGGTCATGTTCAAATAGATTAGGGGAGAGAGAGTATGAGAGATCAAAATTAAGATAAATTTCATTACGCTTCAATTACATCACTTAGATAAACAATTAGACATTAGAGAATTTAACAAGAATTGCATCCAGAGGGATGTCAATAGTAATAGTTATAATAACAATAATAATAGTGTTGAAGTGAGTTAAGATAATGCTATTGATAAAGGATAGTTTTAAATGAATCAATAATAATAATAAGAGGTCGAATAATAAGTAAAACGTATTACCATGGTAGATTCAGAGTCACCACCACCTCCTTTTGTACACAGAGACCTGGTTTATAAACTCGAATTGCACAAGCCTCTGTGCAATTACAGGCATCTTCTTGTTTCTTTGTCTGCTGACAATGGTGAATGACTTGACTGCGTCGATATCATGTCCGTAATCCACAAGATGCTTTGTTATTGAGGATTTTGGCACTTTGAACTCAGCTGTTTTCAACCATTTTGGCCTGTTTTTGTTTGTTCTTTCTTGTTTGGTGTGTTTCAGTAGCATATTTATCACTTCTGCCCTGTGACACGGCAGCAGTAAGCGCGGTCGTTGTTAATCTGGGCCCCTACCGATCCGGCATGATATTTTGTGGATTTATTTGAATCATAGTATTGGATTGGGTAGCTTAGCTGCTTTTTGTCTAACCGCTATCCAAACAACCTTTCTGGCATGGTAGGACCTCAAGCGACATAAGTCTCAGCCAATATAGCTTGTTGGGTCATGGCGGTGTTCAAGCTCGACCACCACGTCAAGGTAGCAGCTTTCGGTCGGGGGACTTTCATCAACAGCTGCCGCCTTCGCTGGATTCATACTGAAGATCAAATGGCCGGCTGGCCAGGAATAATTGGGAACAACAGACTGTGGCTGGTAAAAAAAACAACCACGAGCCGATTGCTCAACAAATATTTAGGAGAAAATGTGGAAGGATCAGGCATACTTTAAAGAGGCTGTGGAATGACATCGCGCTTAATGCAGGTCTTTGCTCGAGTTGAAGGTGACTGGGGATTAACGAGTGGGTCGTCCGAGGGTGACACGAAGAAGGTGAGAGATTATGAGCAATCGTACGTGCAGTTGGAGAGGAAAGCAGAAAATAGAACAAAGTGGAGGTGTGTTGTTGAAGCCCTATGTTCCACTTATAATCCAAGGAAATAAGAATAAAATAAAATAATACACGACAAAGATAGTCAGGATTTGCAATTACATCTGTCATTCATGGAGAATTCAGATAATTTCACTTCACATTGAAGTTTTCACTGAAGATTTTGTCTAGAAGGAGGCAGTAAACGAATCAGCTCAGAGAACTCAACCAAATCAATATATACATATATGAACTTTTTACCAAAAATGAAGCTTGTCAATTCGACGGGAAATCGTGGCAAACATGAATAAATCACTTCATACTGTATCCATTGCACAGAGACATAACTCCGTTGACATTGTGAAACTATGGGTGCTAATTTCCAGTCTCAATAAGAATGGCATCGACTATCCAATCGCCACACTACGGATCATCATTGAACAAAGCTTGAAATGGCAGTCACCTCTCTATCCCAACTTCATCGACTTTGAAAAGGTCTTCGACAGCGTCGATCGAGAGGTGATTTGGCAACTAATTCGCTACTAACAAGGAGTGCCGCTAACAGTTGTACGCCTCATCCAACAGTTGCACGATAATGCTGCATGCCAAGTAATCCACAACGGGGAACTCACGGAATAATTCAAAGAAGTGAAGATGGGAGTAAGACAAGCTGTCTGTTTACTATCGCCAATGATTTTCATGATTGTGGTAGGCTGGATAATGCGACAAACAGTGGGCAGCGAGGAAACAGGCATAAAATGGACTCACACAAAAAACTTGGAGGATCTGGACTTCACCGATGATATATGTCTGATTTCCCACAAACTGGAAGATATTCAAGTGAAAAGCAGAAGAAGCATGTAGAGAAGATAGGAAGGACTTCAGGTGAACATGGAGAAAACAGAGGTAATGAACATCCCTGGACAACACCAACAGCAACAACAACAGACAACAATCAGCATAAATGGAAGGAACCTGAAAGAAACAACCTCCTTCACCTACCTACCTGGGAAGCATCGTTTCAACTACAGGCGGACGGAACTGACAAGGATATCAAAGCAGCGAGCATCGAGAAAGCAAGACAACATATCATTACTCTCAAGTCTTTGTGGAGGTCAACAGCACTCAGCATGAAAATGAAAATAAGATCCGGATTTTCAACTCCAATGTGAATTCAGCACTACTATACGGATCAGAGACTTGCACTGCGCGTCATAAAGAGCATCTCAAGCAAACTACAGACCTTCATCAACAGTTGTCTTCGCTCAATACTACTCAAGATCAGGTGGCCAGAAAAGATCAGCAAACCAACAGGAACCGATTGTGAAACAAATAGGGAGGAAGAAATGGAGATGGATTGGCTGGCCATACTCTGAGGAAACAATGCATCAAGTGACATCACTAGACAGGCCATTGCTCGAGTGGAACCCGAAAGGGAAGCGGCGAGTTGGTCGTCAGTGCGAGGGTGACTTGGAGGAGGTCATGTGAAGAGGAGATGAAAACGTGTGGACAGACTTGGAGCCAGGTAAAGACTCTAGCAGAGAACCGAACGCAATGGAGACGTGCACGGCTGAAGCCCAATGTCCCACTAGGAATTAAAGGAAAGAATAATAATCGGGAAGTAGGTACAGTCAGATGACGAGTCTTTGATAGGACGAAACATACGTTCTGTATTCTATTGTCATCCTCCACGAAACACGTAACTTCTACATAGTAATGATGGGGATATTTGAGGCGTCTATTCGAGGAGTCTATTTCTTATACATACTAGAATGAGACTGATCAATCTTCGTCGGATATAACAACAAGAAATCACAAACGTGAATAAATAATTTGAAAAGTGTTGCGAAAAATCTCATATTTCACAATTATTCCACTTATCCAAGTGAAAGTAAGAACTCAGTGTTTTTGTGTATATCTGTGAGAGAGAAACACTGGAAACTATTTATCGCCAGAATTATTCATACATTGTTTCCGATGATGTTGTTCAGCCAATCAGAATGTTTTTGCCTGTTTTTTTTGGAAGATATGATGTTTGCGTTCTACCTCCCGTGTTAAGTAGTGGTATAATATGTTGTGAGTAATGTTAAGGTTAGGCGTGAAGTATGTTAGACATGGAAGGGAATTGCATTGATCAGGTTGTGAAGGCGCGAATCGATTTAGATTTGCAAATGCCGAACCATTGCCTTCCTCGATAGGCAATGCTAGTTGACATGAGATTAAGTTGGAACAGAGTTAGGGGTGTGGTGTCAAACCAAAACATTGGAATCAAATCAATGAAGTCTTCTTTAACAGTTGGTTTGAGCCAGTGACGTAGAGAGGCATAGGCTATCTGGTTGGAGTCCTGGGGATTCTATAAACCGATGGCTGGAGATTGTTGGTAATACGGTTCAAAATCTCTGTAGTCTTCCAGGTACATTAAGTCGTCATTATTTTTTATTCCTTCATGTTCCCAGTGGAACATAGGGCTTCAAGCTGGAGGCTTGAAGTTTCTGTAGCAGTGGTGGTTATTTTTACAGGATGAGGTTGCTAGCCTCATGCCTAACCTTTCCTCTTTACCAGATTTATTTCTGGTCTAACGAGGCAAAGGAGTGAGTCGGTGGTCGGGGATCGAACCTCGGACCATGTGCATGGTCGGCAAGCGTCCTAACCGCTGTGCCACCGACGCACATTAAGTCGCCAGGTTTCTCCATGTTGGTATTTGTTCTCTGTTACATTTCTGATCATTATAGTTATTTTGAATTTGTTCTTTTTTCTCTACTCTTCACCTTTGTGTGCTGCATGGAGTATGACAACTTGAATTGCTGCAATTCTGTGTGCAGAGTCCTATAGTGAAACTCAGTCACTGCTTATGAAACTACTTATTTTCGCTGTCTAAATTTACTTAGAATAAACTAAAGACATTCATCAACAACTGTCTACGCTCAATACTCATGATCAGATGGCCAGGCAAGATCAGCAACAGTGAGGGATCTCTGGCAGTGAGCGAACCAACCAACCAACGAGGAACCAATTGGGCAACAAATATGCAAAAGAAATGGAGGTTGATTGGCCATACTCTGAGAAAGCAAACCATCAAGTGAGTGACATCACACGCCAGACCATCGGCTGAGTGGAACCCGAATGGGAAGCAGCGAGTGAGCTGTTCGTCAGTTCGAGGGTGGGGTGACATAGAAGAGGAGATAAAAGTATGTGGTGGCAGACGTAAAGCCAGATGAAAACGTTGGCAGAGAACTGAACACAATGGAGACGTGCGTGGCTGAAGTTTTATGTTCCTCTAGGAACTAAAGGAGACAATAATACTAATAACAATAAATTTACTTCAAATTAATTCTTTGTTTCTCATTAAGAATTGAATAGCAACCACGTCAAAGGTCCCACGAATCTTACTTGTTTGTTTTCTTCAATTGATAACAATTAAGTAGCCAATTTTCACTATAGTCAGCAAGACACACTCCAAAATGTTGGAATCAGACTGTTCTGAAGCTAGGTACATCCTGGACCATCTTGCGCGTATGTGTGTGCATGTGGGTGTGTTATTCCGGCACTCATTCCTTCTAATGAAAATATTTCTTTCTCTAGTTCCTTTATATTGCGTCGGTAGTTCAGCGGTAAGTCTCTCGCCAACCATGCACGTGGTCCAGGGTTCGATTCTCGGCTGGCGCACAACTTTACCTTCCTCTTAGCTTGTTATAAGCCTGACAAAGCGAGGGAAGGCTGGGCTCGAAGCTAGCAGCCCCACCCCACTTCCGTTATGGAAGACACCACTGCTGCTACTAAAACTTCAAAGCTCCAGCTTGAAGCCCTTTATGTTCCATTTGGGACGCAATGGAATAATAATGATACAAGTAATTTTCTCTCTATTGATTTATTGATTTATTTGTTCATTTTAGGATGCCTATCAGGGGAAATTTCCCTTCATTTTAAACTCGAAAACAATCAATGGTATTACATCGTCTTCATCGTCTGCTTCGTCAACAACTACACTAATCATGGAAAGTTTGCTGAGTCGTCGGCATTCAACAGCAAGAAAGAACACAATCCATTCAAATCCTCCCCCACCGCCTCCGCCTCCGTATTCAATATTTCCAGTTGAAAATCAAGCTATCCTAAAAGATACCTGGATTCATGATATCATTTATGATTGTGATCTACCAGTTGATCAACAACCTCCACCATTTCTCCTGACATTAGATCAAAATGATGAAACATGCATTCTAGAACCGATAAATGATGCCAGTATTGCTACAACCCTATCGATTATACGTAGTCAACGACAGAAACGACTGATGAATAGTAGAGGTTTAGAAGGTGAAACAGACAATACCACTGGAGATATGTCTACAATAGGCAATATTAATAGTAGTAGTATTAGTAGTAGTGGTATTAATAATAATAACAATATTAATAGTAGTAATAATAATAGTAATAGTAATATTCGTGGTAATATTCAAGATGCCAGTTGGTCTAATTCAAATCAAATGAATGATACAGGTGATAATAACAACAAGTTGAATAGTAATATGGGCACAATGAATCGTACTAGTCTTCAAGTGAACTTTGGTTTAGCCTCTACGCGTGGTATGTTCACTGGTGCGTTAGCTAAAGCTGAAAAAGGCGCAGAAAAAGTGAAAATGATTTTGGGTAAAGTAAGTCAATGAGTGATTTTTCCTCCTCTTCTTCTTCTTCTTCTTTAAGTTTAACCGTAACTATTAGAAACTAGGATGTACTGGATAGCTATTTCTGCCTAGTCGGGGACTCGTCGACAGTACACACCCCCATACCACAGAGAGTTCGAATCCAGGAGCTTCCGGTTACAAGGAAGGCTTGTAGAACATATTCAGTCACTGGGACCCAAATCAACGGCCTATACGTTTTAACTTCTACCAATTCGTGATGTGTATATATACACAGCGCAACTACCAGCCAATATCATATAGTGGCGAGTATTTGTCCTCGAATCCACTACTCTTTGATTTTAAATGATTTTATAAATAATATAAATCCATAGTCAAACTTCAAACTTGAAACAGGATAAGGTGGACTGGAGTTCCAGTGAAAAGTCGTGACCAGTGCAGTCCATTTGGTTGGGGGTGAGGACAAATACTTGGCAAAGCTAAACTTTAAGCAAGATTGACTACCACCAATCAGCGAATGATCTCAAACGCACCAATCACGTGAAGGAGACATTTTTGTGTATGGAATACATATATTTATGAAGAAAATGCATAAAAACTGTAGAAAAGTGCTACAGAGGAGACCTTCCTCTCACAAGTGATAAAAATAGCTCTCAGTTTTAGGTTGGAGTATCAACAGAGTATAAATTCCATTGTGGGTGAAATTTATTTTGATTAAGTCTCACAGTGTAATACAGTAATATCTACTGAGCAATAAACTGTGCTCGAAACGTTATCACCAGTAAATATTACTGCATAACACCCTGGAACTTTATCAAAATGAATTTTACCCACAATGGAATTATACTCTACCACAATGCACAAGTTCTATCCTTATATCAACAGAGTAATTCAACCACATTCTATGCATGCAGTTATTTAGATCTTCTAACCCTAACAATAACCCTAATCTTTCCTGAACCTAACTCTAACGTGAAAACATCCCTAAACTAACTGTAATCGTACCCGAACCAACCTTAATGTCGCCTTTATAAGGTTAACTCAACCCTAACTTGTCCTTAGCTTAAAGCGTAACTTAATCTTTCCCAAACCTAAGCTGAAACTTGCCAGAAATCGATGTGCGTATTTTATTGATGATGACAACATTATTTGCCAGGTTTCACTGACACTCGCTCAGTGAGTGCTTCAAGGTCAATGGTGTAGTCGCACTCCATTGGCAGTTAGTGGTGCTTAAAGTTTAACTTGGTCAAAGACTTGCTGATTACATTGGCTGGTGCCAGTCCGAGCTGAAATCACAAATTGGTAGAAGTTAGAATTCATGGGCTGGCCATTGAGTTACTTTTTTTAAAGTTTATTTTGTATTTCCTGTCGGTTGGTTGGTTGGTTGATCATATTCGGTCTCTGTTGACTTACTTGTCAGCTTCTAGTATGCATGCTTCAGTGATGCCTGAGGATTTAACGCGCTGTTATTCAGTGAGTTGGTGGGTGGGTGGTGACTATAGCACTTATCTTTGTTAATTTCATGTTGATAATTCCAAACACACAGTTTTATAACCTTTCTATGTGGATTAGGCGATTTTATAGCGATTGGTGATTCCTCGATTGAAAGATGAAGTGTACCTAACCTAGACTAGACTAGCCACTTCCAATTGTATCTACCAATTCAACTGAGCTGTTGGTGGAGAGAGTTGTATCGGCCGTTGCTCTAGCGACTTGATTTTTTCGTGCTCGCTTGAGAACATCTCCCAGTATGACTAAGTTTAAAGTGTAGTAAAAAAATATCAACAGTTCGATATTAGACCACCTGTTTCAAACTGGCCACAAAGCGAGCACTGAAGAATCCTTCTCTATCATCTACCGGGTACCAAATAAATTGCCAAAAATATCCAGGTATCGCATGCTCCAAACAACAGAGGCTATCGCGATTCGCGTGAAACAACCAGTGCTTTGTGTGCAAAAGAAGCAAGTCCAGCTAGCCATTACTACTACTGCTCTAGCCGGTCTTCAGTAGAGAGTATAAATTCATAAATTTGTAATATTATCCTTCCTAGTTTTTCTGATATTCAGCTTATTTTATGTTGATGCCATTGAACTGTAATCTAGTGATACTATTGATTCGATAAATTCCTCTTCTGGCTCTACAATTATATATATATATATGCTTATATGCATGGAGTATTCTAGAATAGTAGTCAATAACAATATCCATATGTATCTACCAATTTAACTGCTCCTATGGAGTGAGCCAGTTACATAGGCCGTACAATTAGGCGTGTTTCTCGTCGAATTTCCGAACATCACCGTCTGTGCGGTTAAGCAAATGACAAACAAAATCTAGTCGCAGCGCTATTCTTTCTCATCTTGTGGATACAGAACACAAGATTGACGTTAATCATGCTTTCAGGGTCATTTACCGGATGCCTACGAATCTCAATTTTGCCTTAAGAGTTCGACTACTAAATATTACTGAGGCTGCTGAGATCCACATTGAGAAGTCTAATTTGTGCGTCCGAAGAAGTTAGTTCAGACATTCTCCTTACCTTGGCCATCTAGGTTTGAATGATCCTGAATTTTTGTGGAATTTTCCTAATTTTAGTTGATATTCTATTCGCTACTATATCTTTATTATTATTATTATAATTTAATCATCTTTAATGAACTGTAATTCCATTGTGATCTTACTTTACAAATCGATATTATTTAAAAAACACTAATATTGTTATTGACTACTATTCTAGAATATTCTATGTATATAAATTTGTTTATATAATTCTAGAGCCAGAAGAGGAATTTATCGAAAAGGATATTCTTCGCTCAATTATTTTGTGTTTTATAGATGTCTGAATGAATATTTTCGCTATATTGATATTCACTTCAATCTATAATCTACTGACCGACCACGTGTTTTTTTGTGCAGTTTAAGTTTGTCTCAGATATACTTGCTGGCTATTGTTACAGAGAAATTCAAATTATCATTCATATGGGCATTGTATACCTCCGATATTTGATAAAGAAACGAAGTGAAGATGTAAGAATTAAGGGGTTACTAAGGCGATTCAAAATAAGTTGGCTGATTCACCTGTCAGATTTGTCTTTGAATTTGTCTCCAGTGTGTAATGTTTGTCTGACACACAGATATAAATTCTACGTCTTAGTTATAAGTTCTGTTAACATGTCCTTCGGAGTTGATGAGTTATATAGACACAAAGATGTAATTTGAAAACCAAAACCAACTAGACACCGAACTTACTTCCAACAATTCAAACCCACGATATTAACTTATTACTACCAGTATAATATATGAAAGCTTAATATAGAGACAGTAGTATATGATTACTAAAGAGCCTAAAATCCAATTGAACTAACTGACCAAAGTAACAAATTTATATAGTATTCGTCTACCCAGAGGGGAAATCAATCGACGAGGCTATAAATTTTCATAGATTGAGATGGCTAGGTCACGTGCTGCGCATGCCTAACCATCGCCTCCCCCTCCCGACGGGCATTACTAGCTGATATAGGTGCAGGTTGGAAAAGAGTAAGTGGTGCCATGCCAAACAAAAACATGGCCTCATCAATCCATGAAATCCTTGACAGTTAAACTGAGTCAGTTAGGGAGATGCAGACTTCCGGGTCGGGGCCCGCCCTCGGGACTCTAAGAATCAATGGCTAGGGACAATAGGTGACATGGCTCAAAATCGTTGTCAATGGCTTACGCAGATGTATTCAGTCTCTGTAATCTTTCATATTCCTCTCTACCATTACTCATTCTGTTTCACTCTTATACTTGTCAAAACTCTATTGATTCTCTTCACTCTCATCTTCCTGTGTACCTTTGTGTGCTATTTGGAACGTGGCAACTGTAAGTGTTACACTTCGGTGGCAAGTTCTATGTTGAATCCAGACAGGCAGACTCAGATGTAATGCATCAGAGAGAATTATTTCAAATTCATGTGGTCCCAAACACTTACAAATTAATATGGTGCTCACTAAAGACTGCATATGTATATACAGGAAGTCACCTGGACTTCTAGTGAAAAGTCGTAGACAGCTGGTTCCATCAAGTCAGGTAAAATAATAGTTACTCTCCTCTCCCGTGACGTTGCCTGGCGGTTGTGCCATCTATCAGGAATTGGCAGAAGTTGGAATTCATGGGATATTGGATCGGGCCTCAGTGACTGAATCGTCTACAAGCTCGTCTTGTGACCCAAAGGTCCTGGGTTCGAACTCTGGTGAGTGCATACCTCTGAAGAGTCTCAAATTGGGACGAAACGGTTGGCTATTACTCCCTGGCTTTAAAATGGTTTTCTAACTGATGTCAGCTTTTTATCGAAAGTTCGAAACAATAAGCTATGATTTCTCACTGAACTTTTCATTGAAATTAGTTATTGTTGGACTTGGGGATAGGGCTCATTGAGTTAATTAAGCTCTCGACTTCCAGTTAGTGGGTCTTGGTTTCAAGTCTCTCTCTCTCTCTCTACCTGCTTCAGCTTGGACACTGACTTCTCATACTATCCGTAAAACCCATGGCCTGAAACACAAAGGAGCTATTCCACAAACTGAATTCGGAGAACATTATTGAGCATATGTTGTCTGCGTCTTATGCTCATGTTCTCTTATAAGAGATCAGATTCAGTAATCTAGGCCTATGTGGTTGATAAACTTATTAACCTGTGCATTTTATCGGTATGGAAAAGTTTTCCAAGCATTGACTGTTTTCAAGTTTAATCATGACCAGACATCAGCTAAAGAACTATTGAATACCAGAGATTAACGGACAATTGTTTCGTCCCGGTTTAAGCCTCTTCATCAGCACACACCGATGACCTCAGTAGAGATCAGTCCCAGGATCTATAGACTACACGGTAAGTCCGTTAACTATGCAGCCACCAGGACTGAATCAAGTGGCCTATGACTCCTATATTTCTCCACTGCCAGTCAGTGTCATCGGAGAGTATTTGTCGTCACATCCGACTAGGTTACGACTTCCCACTAGATCTCGAGATAAAATTACATCCTGTAGTCAATCCCTGGGGAATATTAGATCAATCTGTCTCTCTCTCTCTAACCGATGTCATTTCATAATCTGACTTCAGAACATTTGTCAATCTGTTCATTAATTTTGCTAATCTCTTTATGTGTACCAAATAACCGTCGCATATGTGAAATATTTTTGTTTTTTTTCTTAGCATGGTCTTTTAGCCGAGGACGATTGGCAACCAAATCAATCAGAGAAACTAATGACTGCAGATAATGATAGAGGAGTAGTAGATCAACTTCAAGAGGCTGGTGAATTCAATTCAGACAGTGGGAATGCTGCTTTAGCGTCAGCTGCAGCCGCTGTCTCCGGTATCCCACCAAAAGATCCATTAAATTTATCCAATGATGAATATTATGCCATTCGAAGCGGTGCACTAGCTTTAGGCGGTCTAGCACGATGTGGTCCACTACAGCATAGTACACCGGCTGTGGAATTATGGCCACCATTTTTCCCAACATTTATGAGTCCGTTACGCCTACGTCAGTTTCATAGAGTTCCATTGAAAAGGTTAGTAAGTTGCTTTTTAATAATAATAATTTGCTTTATTCCAAAACAGTACTTGTGATACAGAATGGAATTCTCAGCATTTTTACTACAGTATTGCATCCACATAGTACATTATCAATAAATAGAATTCTACATAGATTAAGGAAATCTCAGTTCATTATGACAACAACACATTGGCATGTCGGTAGCAAAGGTAAAGCTGAAACAGTGTTTGAAGGTGTTAGAAAAGTAGGTGCTATCATATTTACTGGCGTAAGCGAGAGAAAGAAACAAAGCAGAACATAACGGAAAACAAGAGAGAGAGAGAGAAAAGGAAAAGAAAGAAAGAAAATGTTGTATCTATAAATGATATGAGTTGGAAAGACGAGATCCAGTTGTTCTACTGAGTATTTAATGAACTATAGGTGTCACGCCTAATGCTTTCTTTATCACACAGAACACGAGCTAAGTAGAGTATGGTTGAGTTTTTGTACTTGCTGGTGCGAGCATATAGTTTTCTATATAGGCTTCTGGTTTTGCCTGATGAGATACAAGGGGAGAGTTGTGAGTGAAGAGGGTGGTGTGAGTTAGATATATAATGGATTTAGCCCATTTTCCACATGAGTCCAAGTGCCTGTCTGTCGACCAGAATATTAACAAGCTGGTTAAGTGGCACGTTGTTTATCCTGCTGACAACCTTTTAACATCCTGCGTAATGTTATAGTCTTTCTTCAGTAGCCCGGGGAAAACTAAGGGGGAACAATAGAGAATAATAGGCAGAATGCGACAGTTAACGAATTGTAGGAGTAAGGGTTGGGTTATACCAGAATGTCTTAACTTCTTGATGTAGAAGGTAAGACGGAATATTTTCTTAGAAATCGCCAGGATATGAGACGACCAGGAAAAATCAGAAGATAGAATGATGCCTAGGTATTTAATTTCCGACTTGGCTTCTATTTCAGTGCCATCCATGTTGCACATCTCGTGAGAGCTAACCAGTTTGTTTAGGTCAGATTTATGCCTAAAGGTGAAATTGACTGTTTGGCATTTGGAGGGGTTTTAGGGTAAGACTGTTTTCCTTAGTGCACAGGCTGATTTCTGATAGAAAGTCATTAAGTTTAGAGCAGTCACCTTGACATTTGATAGGCAAAGATACTGTCAAGTTGTCAGCATATTTGACAAAATTAATGTCATTTGAAGATGGTAAGTCATGTAGAAAGAAAGAAAAGAGAAGTGGGGAGAGCACAGCACTTTGGGGGACACCAGCTTCAGTGAGCACAGCAGAGGAGGATTTACCTTTGTATACGGTGTACTGCTTTCCGTTAAAGAAGTAGGAATGCAGCCAGTTAGTGACCCAGGACTCAATTATTGTCATAGAGAGCTTATTTAGCAAGAGACATTTAGGCACAGAGTCGAAAGCAGAAGTGAAGTCCAGAAACGTGCAGCGGACGTATATAGTTTACTTGAATTTATCAGTTAACATTATAGATTCTGCATATCTTGTAGCCCCTCCTTCCCCCCACCGGTGAGTGAATCTTTACTGGGTGGGTTAACGAATTGCGAAGCGGGAAAATGCTGGAGCCCTATGGAATTGGATAATATTAGTAATAAATTACAATACCTACGAACATACTGATACATTTAACAGTAATTCACATCTGTTGTGCACGAGGGAGTATATGTATGCTTGTTAGATAAAACAAAATTTGAAATTACTGATTGAAAGTTGTAAAGATATGACTCACAGGCTTAAGCAACTCGGCTGCCAGTGTTAGTGCGTCCTCGGTTTGATTCCTGTTCTATTTACTTCAGCGTGTAACTCCATAGCCTCGGTAACTGAGGTCTAATATAAGCACGTTGATTGGTTACAGGATTTCATCATGAACTGACATCAGTTAGAGAACCATTGGAAACCAACACTAGAGTACTGGACAGCTGTCTCGTCCCATTTCAAGACTCTTCATCAATGTACACACCCTCCGAGGTTCGAATCCAAGAGCTTCCGGTTACAAGGTGAGTTTTTGGGTCATTAAGCCAACTTATACCAATTCATGGTATAGCGTGACTGGCACTAGCCAGTGTCATCCGTGTTTTTTTATTTCCTCATACCCGACCTGCTGTGACCGACTGCTCATGACTTCTCAATAGAATCCAGGTGATTAATAGTGTTCTCTGAGCTGGTTGGTGTAGTTGCGAAGCTTTCGTCGTCCTTCTGGACAACATCTTCAGCGCCATATTTAGCATAAAGTGAAATGATTTAAATTTCTCCATGAGTGATAGAATTCCGTCTCCCGGTAACCATCTTTACATATGTATTGACCATTTTCCATTGACTTGGATTTTAAACTTTCTCGTCACATGATTTACTTTTTTTATTAGTTGGTATATTTCGTCTGTATATTAACGTGCTTGTTAATTGCACATTCGTTTGAGTACCAGGCTTCTAGGAATTCCCTGGCAGTAATTTTGGTGTTTCTTCTGTCTAAGATTTTGACATTGTCCCAATCAAATTGATGACCATAATTATCTATATGCGTTGATACTAAAGAATATATATCGTGTCTTTTCACGGCTGATTTGTGATCCTGGATTCTGATTCGAAGGGGACGCCCACTCTGGCCGATCTAATGCCTGTTACAGTTCATACAGTTCAGTTTGTAAATGGTATTAATTTGATCTCCTTTTTCTGTTGGATCTTTCGGTTTGCACAATATCGAATTAAGTGATTTGACTGGCTTGTGTGCAATCTCTCTATCAAACGGTTTCAATATTCTAGCTGTTATTTCAGAGATATGAAATTTAAATTAGTGTAATCCCGACGGGGAGCGATGAGTGGGTCACAGGTACGAGGAGGAAATAAAAATTGAAATCATTTCACTTTGTGCTAAATATGGCGCTGAAGATGTTGTCCAGAAGGACGACGAAATCTTCGCAACTAAACCAACCAGCTCAGAGAACACTATTAATTGAATATCATCCACCTGAGCTACAAATCTTCTCTATTAATCCAGGTAATTATCTAAATGAATGGGGCCAGTCGTGCTATATCATGAATTGGCAGAAGTTGGAATTCATGCACTTGCCATTGGATCCGGTCCTAGTGTCTTAATGGTCCTGGGTTCGAGCCCTAGCAGTGAGTGTGTACTGATGAAGAGTCCCAAACCAGACCGATGAAACTGCAGTCCAGTACTCCCAGGTTTTCCAACGGTTCCCTAACCGATGTCAGTTCATGATGAAATCTTGTAACCAATCAAATCAAGTCTCTGCAATCCAACACTTGAATAACAGGTTGACGTCAAGTGTCAGTATGCTTCAATTATTATTTTTAATAATAATAATCATGATTGCTGTTCGATTGTCATTTACTTCATAATATTTTGGTGTGTCGTCTTACAATATATTCAAAAGTTGAACTGTTATTTAGTAAAATCTCTCCTTCGTTAAAAGACTTCCAAACGAATATTTCAACATGTAAAATTAGAAGTTAATTGGTGGAATCCAGGATGCACATTTCGTCCTACTCGGGACTCGTCAACTAGCTGGATGTGCCTGCATTCCCCAGTGAGTGATGATGTTCCCACTGAGGCTGACGAGTCCCAAATAGGACGAAATGCTCGTTCTCCTGGATTCCATCCACTGGTAGTCACCATTCACCAATTAATTAACTTATAATTACATGCCCAGACATCGTCGAAGCATCTGCACAAGAAGCCGACACACATGTCAACCTGAGACCGAGCACTTCGGTCCAATCACATCATCAATAGACGGGAACATCTAAAATTGAATTGAATATTTCAAAAATCTGTCAATAATTATTTGTATATTGTTATTCCCTTGAGTTTTAAGTGGAAAATAGGGATTCAACAGCCCAAATCTATTTCACTCTGTTTTAATAATAATAATAATAATGGATGAGGATTTACATGAAAGAAACTTCTGGTTATAGAGAGCATTTAATCTTTGTAATTCGGCTTTAATCAAAGTGTTTATTCTCTTAACACCAGATTTATTTTTCATTTTGTATAACCTCTCTTTTTGACGGCGAAGCTTTTTGAGTTGAGATGAGGCGAAACGGTCGAACTTTAAGAAGATTGTCTCTTTAGGACAACAAACATCAAGACAGAAATTGAGATAATGTGTTATGTTACTAATTGTGTTGTCAAGAGCTTGTTCAGTAAACAGGTCCCAGTTTGTGTCTTTTTTGTGTGTTTGTATCTTTTTTCTTCAGTCTCTTCTAGCTGGTTTCACGATCGATAACTTACAAGGTTTAATCTCCTCCTGATGCCATCTCTCTTGTATATGTCACCCTCGAAAAGACGCCCAACTCACCGTTGTCCCATTCAGGCTCCATTTAAGGGCCTGTCTTTTCCTCCTCAGTGTATTTCCGATTAATATATCCATTTCCTTTCTACATACATGTTGGGCGTCATATTTCAAGTCTTCAGGATCAGCTCAAATCTTTAGATCAATGCGTGCATTCTAACCGACGATAAGTTGAGCAACATCTTGCAGTCGTCAATATCGGTAATTATTACAACCAAAAATTAGTTGCTTTGTAGTATGCATAACGAGCCAGCGCCTTCTTTGATCAGTAACTTTAATAATAATGATAATAATAATGGTAGCCTCATTCTGGACAAAATATTTGCACAGTGTACAGAATTTTCAGTGTAAATCATTGCATAATCTTTCCGCTTTATCCAGTATCTATAAGCAAACCAGCAATCTACAGGACGTTATATATGAAACACTGCT